CCAAGGGTACATACTTCCCATGCCCCATCTCCCTGCACCCCCTGGATGAGCTGCTCACAGCTCCATCCCATGTCCTGGCTGTGCAGAGCCTGCCCGTACTCTGGCCCCACTCCCTCCCTCAGTGCTGTTGGGGGGAGATCCCTCACCCCAGTGGTGAGGCAGAAATTGGAGCTAGGACTGGGGCCTTGATCTGACCCCCCCCCCCCCACCCAGCCCCTTCCCTCATAGACTTACCTGCTGGGGGGGCATGCCCCCATATAAATTTTTCTTCTTCTATCTCAATCTGCTCCCCTCTTTCCCTCCCCACAGACTTACCTGCTGGGCAGGAGGTGGTGGGTGGTGCACAGTAGATTTTGGGTTGCCTTTAAATGCCAGAGGTGATCTACTTTGAAAGGTTGGAGACCACTACTTTAGCCTTTTCCCTCAAGGCTTGTCATCTAACTACTCTGCGTGTTGTCCTGTAGGGTCAGGCCAACTCTCAGGATCTCAAAATTGCGCTTGTAGATGGGAGGGTGTGACACAATTGCACTATACACATGCAAAAATCAATTAGGCGCATACACATGCACACGGCGCACACATGCACATACTAGGCGCACATGCACATGCAAGATTACCAGTCTAAGCACATACACATCTATCACCAATTCAAGCACATACACACAGGTGAGTTCCTAACTTGAGTGGCATGGTATGTGTGTGCTTGGGGTACTTAGGATACCTAGGGTGCTTGGTGACTGTGGGAGGGGGAGTCAAGGGCCAAAGATTTCTGTAAGGAGGGGAAGGAGGGAGATGGATGGGGGGTTAACATAAGAGAGGGAAAATAAGAGCGTGAAAGTTGTTGGGGCTAGGATTAGAACCAGCAGACTGGAAGGGGAGCTTGGGTTACTTAAGGACAGGTGACCCCCAGGGTTACTCAAGGTCAGTGTACACTGGGGTTACTTGGGGTCACTTGAGAATAGAGATATTTAAGGTTAAAGTGGCCCCTGGGATTACTTAAGGTCACTGTGCCCCAGGGTTACTTGGGAGGCAAGTCCAGGGTTTGGTGAGCAGATAGCTGGGAGGCACAGAGAGGGAGCCAAGATATCTCACACACACACATGATCAGAGGGGCAGAAAACAGAGAATGGAGTAGGGCTGGGAGGTCAGTAAGACAAAACCCAACTCAGGGTTTCAAAATAACAGGTTTATTAAACAGACAACATGCTACACAGCTCCATGAAGTTATTGGTTCCTACACACAAGCACTCACATACACACCCACATAATTGTAGTGGGAAAGAAAAAGGCTTGATGGAGGGATTGAAGTTAAGGTGTGTAGGGACAAAGTCTGGGTCCTTTGCTTGGGGAAAGAAGGTGGGTGATAGCTACCTATCCTGGGCTCTGAGTTGATCCTTGATAGCCAGTCGGGGTCTTCTCCCTGGTGAGGTGTTGTCCAGAGAGGGTCGCCAGCAGGTCCTCTGGGTGGATAGGTGGTGTGGCATAGTGCTGGTCCGGCAGTGGTCCGGTCGTTGAGCTGATGGTCCAGTTGTTGAGTTCATTTTTCAGAAGAAGCCTGCAACCATTGTATCTCAAGCACCCTCATTCATCCCCATTCATTCAGGAACCAGTTTACACGAGACTGGTTAGGTATGAGTCATATGTTACGCCCGGGCAGAGGACACAAGATGGAGGCTTGACATACAAAATGGAAACTTGACATTACTTTACAGACATAGGCCTAAACCATACAGTATTAATATGAAACGATAAAAATCAATGCAAAAATGATAGGAATACAATATAATACAATATAAACCATTAAAAATGACTACAAACATAACAGAACACTATTTACAATATAAAAAGGAGCTTACTACAATAATAGCATACAAGAGCTTATCTTAGTTTACCTAGTACTACTTGTAATCACTTATAAGGGACACAGAGGGCAGAGAGAAAGTCAGAAATGGTTAGGGGAAGGGGAGGGAGTGTATTTTTAAATTAAAAAAAAAAGAAAAACTGGGGGTTTTGCTACATGTGTAGCCATGATCTAACTCCATGAATAGCTCTCTCTGCGGTTCAAATTGCAGGGTAAGATGCAGTTTACAATAAGTAAGGCTGGCAGAAATAGGCTTCTATTGATAGTGTATTAATAGCTTGAACATCATCTTCAAAAGTTTAGCTTGACATTTACAAAGTGATAGATAATGAAAGCATTAAAAATATTAGTTTTCAAGTGTTTTGTGAGGTGTCTGTTTACACAAATATGTTCTTTTGAATTACTGTGAGAGGGATTTTCTCTTATAGATACTCAGTACCTACAACAGCAACTTAGTTCTCAAAGAACGTCCTCCAAAAGATGTACAATATCTGCAGGTGACTTTTATGACCCTGACGCCAAGTGCAACAATGCTATTACTAGGCTTTTCTTCCTAGAAGACAAAAAGAATATTTCAGTGACAGGTACCATAAAGTATTTTATATATGGCAGAACTTGACTCAATTTGCTTTGCCTAAAATATATAAGAATATTTGAAAAAAACCCTTATTATTAAAGGAAGCTGTTAAATCAATAGTCAATTATTATTTAAATTTTGTTCTCAGTAAAATGGTTGAATTCAAGATCTTACAGTATTTCTCCTAGATTGGGTTAGAATATTTTTCAAACAACAACAAAAAATTACTTTTGGTTTGGATCCATCCTTGATTTTGCCTGAATTGATTGAACCATAAATAATATTGACAGTGAATTTAAATGATCTGACTGAACAAGTCTGTAATTGAAGCCTAGCCACTTTCAGGTAGGCAAACTGTTCATTGATTTATACCCCATGCAATTCCAGTGAAGTCAATGAGGTTGCACAGGACGTAAGTCATGGCAGGATTTGGTTTAGTGCTAGTTTATGCAGTTGCTCTCTGTCTTGGAGAATGAAAATATAACCTCTGCTGCTTTGACCATCATTTTCTAAATCTACACTGGTTATCTGCAAAGCAAACTGGAAAGTGTCTGCAATTTTTTTTTATGATTTAGGAAATCTGCTTTTGAAACGATTATTTCAGGACCTTTTCTGTATCTATAAAGTATATTAGGATTGGCTAGGGTTACTTAAATTGCCACAAAGCAAACTGTTTACATAAAGATTTACTTTATTCATGAATAGAAAATACAGGTTAAAAAAAAGGTCCCCAAAGAACAATTTTTAGTACAAGATTTTTTTTTTTTTGCATTGCTATGGGAATGTCAGGTTTCAAATATCTATTGACTAATACATATTGCATGTAACTGGAGATTATTTGCCAAGCCACCTTGTGCAATATTAAAATGATGGGTTTGTGCATAGCGGAAATCTGCTCATAAAGAAGGTGTACTCTCTGCTTATTCTGCTACATTTCTGTATTTTAGGTGGTGCCAACTTGGTGTCATGTGGAGGTGCTGGCTATGTTAGGTTTTGGAGTACTGTGAAGAGCAAGCTCATAGCAGAGTTTGAAGCTCATGGTGGAGTTGGATCTATAATCATGACCATTGATAAAACGAGTCAGTACCTCATAACTGGGGACCTGATTGGATGTGTGAAAATATGGAATATACAGGTACAAAGAGAGTATGTGATTCTTTCTTTGAGTTTGTCCTGTTGCCAGTTTGGTTCAGTAAATGAAAATCAATTGGGTTGTGCCTCTTTTCTGGAAAAGGAGAAAGATGGGATAAAATTCCAGGGTTCGACTGAAGTCTGAAGAATCTTGATTGACTCAAGAGCAACCTGGACCATACTCCTAATAAAAAGCCTTTCTATCAGATGTCCCTCTTTTTCTTCAAAGCCCACACAAAAGAACCAATGGGAAGGAAACCCTGTGCTGACTTACTCCATTATTTCTTCTGCAAGGGAATTGTCTCTGGTACACACAGCATGTCAATAGTTCTGTCTAATAATTCTGCTTTTTAAAAATATATATATGCCCCCAAACCTCTACATAAGAATACTGACATTTCTTTTTCACCAGGACTACTGTCTTAGTCCCAGTGAGAGCAAGGTAACAGAGCCACCTCCCCTGGTCAGATCATTTCAGCCGCACAACGACCGTGTTACCTACCTGGAGACCTGCGAGCGAAATGGTTGTCTGCTCATCCTCACTTCCTCTGCAGACTGCAGCGTTGCTCTTAGTGATCTCTCTGGTACAACAATTGGAATATTTGGGCAGGTATTCATACCTCTTAGCAACAATTATGCTTAGAGTAGGCTGCTTGATATCCAGGAAGATTTCTTAATGAACTGCTTCATTTCTGGGCTTTTAGGGCAGCTTCTGTACTGTCAGAGCAATCTGCTGAAGAGCTTGCCTTTTCTTTGAATTGTTCTTGCCTTTTCTGTACAGACCAGAAATATTGCAAATCACTCGTTTACCTAGATTTTGGTGCTTCTGCTTCAATTCTTGGTGGGGAATATGAGGTGGAAACAAAAAATACAAGTACGGTTTCAGTTCCAGGTAAGTTTTGAGTAGAGAGTTGGGTCGCTACTTTTTTGTTGTTGTAATTCTTCACTTCCATTCTTGAAGCCTTGCTCAACCCCGGTAAATCACAGCTGTATCATGGTGAGGTGTGTGAAGAAGTATAGCTGGAGTGTTATAGAAATCACAGTCGATCTAATAATAAAATGCAGAAGGCTTTAAATCATGAATTCTTTCTCTAAAACATTAAAAGGTTCCAAGCATCTGTTCAGAGTTTTAGTAGAACAGTTGCATTAAAAAGTAAATTTTTTTTTCTTCTGCAGAAAGCTTTAACTTTTTGAAATTAGTTTCTGTTCCAAATTAGAATAAAAAATGAAAAAATAGTTTTGTGAAAAGAAAAAAATCTGGTATTTCTAATACCGAAAAATCAAAATGGAAAGTGGACATTTTTGAGAGAGATAATTTGACACACACAAGTGAAATAATTTGATTTTCCCATTCATAACATTGAGAAACATAATTGAATAATTAATTTTTCCTTTAGGGAATTTCTTGGTGTAGAGCATCACATTCTCAGATGGATTTTCTTTGTTAAAAAAAATTGTCAGTAGATCAAATGATTAAACTTCCCTCCAGCCCCCCCAAAAAAGGGTTTTAGTGTAGTGCCTAGTACAATAAGACCCTAACTTTGTTAGCAGCAATTAGAAATTATTGACACGTGCTAACGAATACATAACTGGTTCTGTCTGAAAAACTGAATTCTTAACTCTGCATGAAACTTATGAAAACTAACAGCTGTCTTAAAAACTAATATTTGGGGGCACTTTCATATGAAATAATTGACATCTACTCTTTTTCGTATTTGTGTTACTAGAAAACAGTAAGAAATGCAGTACTGTAACAATGTTTGGGTGCCGGCTAAGGGTAGGGATGCTGGAATGGAGCCAGGGGCTGGCTCACCCTGCTACCCCGTATCTCTTTCCTCTGGCGCCCTGCAACTTCTTTGCAATGGATCTAGCCCAGCAGTAGGGAGGGCAGAGTGGTGGTGTTATATGCTGCAGGTAGTGTTATACGGTGCAGGGGGAGCAGCTGGAGGGCCATTGCTATAGGGGAGAGACACCACTTCCTTTTTCTCCTTTTCTTGCTGTCAAAAAGCAGTGTTTTTTGGGCCACACAACATGCATGTCAGTGGCCAAAAAAAGGTGACACACATCCCTTCTGCATCAGCGAACCTCTGGTTGGTGCTCTGCTCTTCCACACCACCCAGACCTGAGCTGGAGCCCAAGCAGGAAAGGTGCAGGACGTGAGTGAGTGGGGTGGGGGACAGGGTGGCCTAGGGGTGGGCAGTACTGGCCACTTCCGCTTCTGAAGAAGTGCAACAAAAAGTGTTTGAATAGTTTTTCAATCCTCCATGTTCCCTGCTTTTAGGAAGAGCACTGGCAAATTGAAAATACTCCTATTCTCCTCAAAGATGAGAGAAAACAGGAAGAAAGCATGAGGCAAATGGAAAAGGAGGAAGTTGAAACGGGAAAAACGGCCTCCGTTCCTGAGGAAGAGTCTCTTCCCAGTTCTGTGGAGCCAGCTGTACTTTTCTTGCATGATGAAGAGGAATCAGTTTGCATGTAAGTCATTTAGCAAAATGTGGGTGTGCACGGGTGTGCAGGAGTGGTTTGTTCAGTGTCTGGTTTTATTCCAAATCAAGAGGAAAAGCTGAAACATTTCACGTGCTAGAAATTCCAAATTGGAATTTTTCTGACTTGCTGAAATGGTTTGTTTGGACACTTTTGTTCCAGAAATCATTTCCGAAATTCACCTAGATTGGAACGGCTTGCTTTGGTCACCTGAAAGAAAATCAGAAGTTTTAATAAAGTTGAAACTTTCCATTTTTTTCCCCAAAGATCTTTGCATTATGCCTTCCTTCCTTTTCTCCTTTTACAAGTGTGAAAACCCAAGCACTGACTTGCCCAAGATAAAACAGAATAGGCAGGTGCTTTAGCTAGGAATAGAACTCAGGTCTCCTGAGAGTCCAGAGCTCTGTGCTAGGCTTCACTGCACCTCCTTTGAATAACGCCTAGAATGGAATATGTTTGCTAAGCATTTTGAACTATGCCATAGAGACTTCTTAATATACCGTGTTCTGCCTTAGTAATATATTTTTAGACTACACTTTTCTCCAATTGTAACAATAATAACATAGCAGTTTACTACAGATCCTTCTGAGTACTTATACTTCTTCTGGATGAAGAAATATTTATGCATATCTCTGTGCTTCAAGATGAGAGAAAGTACAACATGCATCTAAATGTTTAAATCTTTAATGACCTTTTGTAACATGAACTACTTAAGGTGTGGAAGCAGCAAAATTCAGCTATATGCAAGTACTTCCTAGCTTTACATTTCCTGAATAGAAGACCATGACACATTTATGTTATTAAAAGGTTTTTAATGATCTCCTGTTAGAATGCAATTCCAGATACCTTGAACAAAGTAGGAGCAAAATGAATTAAAATGAAAAGCATTTTTTGTGGCAGACAGGTTTATTTTTTTATGTAGAACACAGTGCATGCTCGGAAAGGGTGAAGAACAAGCAATGAGTGTTTATTATAATGAATGTCATCTTCAAATATAGAGGATCTGACTCTAATCTTGGAGCATTTCCATTGAATTCAGTGCAATAGCTCTTCCTTTACTTTGCTGGAAGTGAAATCTGAATTGGAGCCAATAGCTGTAGGTTTATAATACTCTTATAGGAAATGAAAAAAAATGCTCCAGAGAAAGTAAATCATCAAAACTGTGTGACTTCAGTATAACGGAGAACACATATCTTGCTTTAATCATGACCACAGTCCTTCCCAGCAAAAACCCTGGGCTGAGGAAGAGTGCAGATTCTGCACGTTTTCTGAGGCATTGTAATTTTCAAGTCTATGCACAACTGTTATAAATGGATGTTTGGATCGCAGCCAGGTCATCCTTCCACCCTGAAGCAGAACAGGTGGCTTAGAAGACTTCTCTTCTGGGAAAGCTGCTATTTTAAAGTGCTTGAAGATACATAGGTGGAATTGTTCTAACTCTAAATACACCTACGCCAGTATATGAAAAAGGGCGCTGGCTTTTGCGTTGTCTTGAAAATACTGCCCTAGAAGGTAGTCTCATGAGCAATTGCATCTTCTGCCAAGGGCAGATGCGTCAGAAGTGGGTGTTTTTACTAATAATTACTAGGACGTATTGACATGATTCCAAAGCACTGAAGGGGGCACGTGATATGAGTAACTCTTTTACAGCGTATTCTCTTTTTACAAAGGCTACAAGGCTGTGGACTAGGTACGAATTATTTATGTTCTGTGTAATGAATATTTCTTCCAAAGCTGAAAGTGAGGCTAGATGAAGAGGATAGTCGTCACAAGTGGAGCTGGTCTGAAAAATTCCAACAAAAACATCTTCGTTGACAGGTGTTGAATTGGAAAAATCAAACTTGACAAAAATGATTTTATTGTGCTGAATTTCTCGTGGAACTCTACCCGCCAGGCAGATTTTGGCACTCTGTCTAGTTTTAATACCTACCTGCTTGCCCAGGTCCTTGGCAGACTGTTGTGGAGCATAGGTTTCCAAACTTCCCCAGGCCTGGGGATCCTAACCCATTCATGGAGAATTTGAGGGGATTGTTCTGAATAATGGAAAAATAATGCTGAGAATTTGAAAACCTCTAACTCCTTCATGAATTAAATCGTTTCCTTCATCCAACTCTAATCAGAAGTTAAAGGGATAGATCTCTGTTAATTTGGAAGTACTGGACTCTTGATGAATCCACTTCTCTAAGTGAAAGGGAACTCTTGGCTCACTTACTACAGAAAAGGGGATTTGTTGCTAAACATCCAGCTCATACCTGAGCAACGAATGAGACATCTTACATGTGATTTCCAAAATGACCCTTGGACTGATCCAAAGCCCACTGAAGCCATTCAGATCAGGCAGTATGTGGCTTCAAATGGCCTTGTAGCATATGCTTGCTGAAACAAAAGTGTGCAGACCTTGTACATGTTCTGTATACTCTGTCACTTTATCATATTGCAGTCAATGGGCATGTCTTAAAGGTGTGACCCTCTTTATGCATGGCAATTTGGCAGGCAAAAAGCAACAATAGAGACTGTAGGAAGAGATGCAATAGATTCCTGTCACTTGTTTTTTGCATTTAATTTTTGTACAAAAAATCACTTCTGTCCTTCTAGGACCAGCCCATGGGAAAATACAATATTGGGTAAAAAATACAAAGAAATCAATATACAGAAAGGAAAGAAACACAAGCTTTTTCATGTGAAGAACATGGGAAACTCAACTGGTAAGCAACTCTTCTCACATAATCTTAATAGTTATGCTACTTTTTTGTAAGTACAGAATTTTACTGCTTTTCCCCGGTGGGCAAGCCTGATCAGAACCAAAAAGAAATAAGAGCTTTCCTGGTAAAAGTTATCTCTATTAAGTTGGAAGTACTGGATTAAGTACTCTATTAAGTTGGAAGTAGTTGGAAGTTATTTTATTAGAAACTTATCTAATCTCTTTCTTGGACCACTTTATAATGGATATAACAACACAGAAACACAGTCCACTGTTGAAAGGTCCCACTGCCATATCTTATAGTTGAAAGGCAATGAAGCCTTACTCCCTTCAGGAGGGGTCTTTCTCTTTCCATTTCTTTCTCCTGTTTATTTTTACAAATCATCATACTTTCAAGTGTGAGGGAAGTGATTGTTTTAAAAAAAACCATGCATGGCTACCATGAATGCAAAACCCATATTACTACCTGCAGGCATTGGCATGCAACAATTTGGTGACCTCCTCTATAGAGGAGACATGCATGTCCAGTTTGCAATGCTAAGCACTTTGTGGGCCATCTGGTTAGTGAGCCAGTACACCCATATTTTTGCAGGTGCAATTAATTTTCAAATATAGCTCAGAAAGTGTGAAGGTTGGGGTGCAATTGTTTTGTCTGAGAACTACTAAGGAAACTGAGCGTTAAAATTTGTGATATAGACTCCCCCTTGCTCTCGCTGTTAAAACTAATAAACTGATAAAACTACACCATAAATTACCTTCAGAAACCTGGTCCATTTCCTTTGCTTTTATTTGAACCGTTTAAGAGAAAAGGTTTTTAACTTTATTTTTTATGAAGGCTTCTATCTGTAGTAGATAAAGAATCGAAAAGCTTGGAAATATGCTTGTAAAAAAAATCACTTCCAAGTGGAAATTGTTTATAAATCCTGAGGGAAAAATGGAAAATTTGTTAGCTTTCTCCAGCTTTACATAAAAAAGTAAGATTAATCCCATGCAGCTGTTTGTAGAAGTTGCTGAACATTTCTTGTCTGTAAGCGTTAAAGTTTTCCCTTTAACTAGAGAAATATGAAACTTAGATCAGAAAAAGCTAACTTAATTTGGAAATGCAATTGAACTGTTACGTGGAATTAATTCCAGTTTTTCAATAATCCTCCTATTTTTAAAGGCACATTTAGGTCATTAAATATTGGAACACTTGAGGAGGTTGTTGAACTGAACAGGCCTGACTTTGTTCTAAACCCTAACAAATACTTTGGTGAAAAGACAGAGGAGAGATGCTCTGAAAGTGTGATGCTTCCTACCCTGTCAGAAAGTAAGTAGACCTTCATTATATTCTCATTACTCGAACTCTCAGTACAGAAAGGCAAAAATAAAGGTCACTAGCTTTTACCATCTGTGCTAAAATGAGATGAAGGCAATAGAGAACTCCAAGATTTATTGCTTAGTTGCTGATCTGGGGTTTCAACAAAAGTAGCAGAACATATAATCCTATTTGAACAACTTCTTATTTTGTTAGGGTATGATCCACAGTCCACTGGATTCAGAGTCAAGGACAAGTTTTCTTTACTTGGGTTTTGGATCAGGCCTCAAATATTCAATGACGTGTTTATCCATTTCTGCATCTGTTCGTGATGAAGAAGAGCACAAATCTTATTTTTAATGGATTTTGAAAAACCTACCAGAGAGAGGGAGGCTTGAAGTAATAGAAATTTTCTGCTAATATGTTTGTCTTCCTATAAAGTAGGATGCTTCTTATAGGATGCTGAGAAGTCTCTCTCACTGCCTTTCAGAGAAGCTTTCTTGGGGCATGCTGGTTTCTTCCCCCTGAAACACAGGCAGGCAAGAAGGTGACAGCTGGGGCAGAAGGCTGTGTAGGCAAGCGGCAAGTGTGATGAGTAACGCTATCTCTGGCATCACCCCATCCAAGAAGCAGCAGCATGACAATTTTTGTCAGCTTTTACCAGACCCAGGTTTGAACGTGCAGATGGCTGGCAATAGTGGAAACAGTCATAAAAACAAAAAAAAAATCAATGAAACGAAGAGGGAAATGTTTGGAAGATAAGTACTAAAGAAGCTAGAAAAACAATTAGTGCTCATTACTGAACACCCTCGGGCCATAACATTGTGCTTTCTGCATTATTACAAACCAAATACAAAATGGATTCTCAGCAAACTATCTAATAAAATAGATCTGGGCTGGTGAGGCAGCTTGACAAGTTCTATTTCATGACTACCTCCCAGTCCAAAACCTCATATTTTCTCTTAACCCACTGTGACACTTCTCCTGAAGGCTCCTTAAGATCTTCTCCTGCTTCTCCCTTTTGCCCATTCTTTAGAAAACTGGATGTCAAAAACATCACTCTTAACTAGGGTATTCCAGCCTTTAGGGCTATTGTCGTGCCATTGTGATATTTAATTGATACAGGCTAGCTATATTATCTAGTGATTTAGATATCAGTAATATGTGGCCCAGTGTGAGAAACCATCAGAGACAGGTGAAACAGGTAGGATGAATCAGTTGTGAACTATATGGAAAGCATTATATAAGGGGGAGAGACCCATGTGAACTGGACCCCAGGCAGCTGATTCAGTAAGGTGAAATGCTGTCATGTTATGACTAAAAAAGCAATCTTTAAAATGAAATATCTTGAAGTTGGATTAACTGCCATGGCACCTTTCATTTATTAGTCAGGTGCTTTTTTTTTTCTTTACAGACTATTCTCTCTCTGTTTTTCTCTATGAGCAATTGAGGTATTATATACTAAAGTTACATTTATATGAATGATTCCAGTATATTTAATAATTAAACTGCGACTCATGACACGTCTACAAAAGAAGCAGGTTTTACCCATCTGTATTTACAAGTTCTATTGCCCAAAATAAAATTCAAAGATAAATAAAGAGGGTGGTGTGATATTTAATGATAAGTATTGAGTTGTATGTTCAGAATGTATTGACGTTAGTGCTGAAATTCAAAAAATGTGGCAGAGTAAATCTAAGTTATATTACAAACTGGCAACTGCATCCCTTTAAACACTGCTCTGGGAAAATAATTTGGATCTTTAATATAAACTTCCTCAGGTTAGTCGAGTTTGTCAGTTAATAGCTATGGACCGTCACTGGCAGTCATAAGAAAGTGAGAATTTTCTGCAAATGTTAGCAGATTTGTCAGCACATGCCTGACACCAAACACAAAAGCAGTCACAGTGAAGTTTGTTAAGGTTAGATCTGTGCCCAGACATACCACTGAGCCTGTGAAGAGTCCAGCTTAAGTTAGTGGGCATGCAATACTGCTTGGGATATTCTGCACTGCAGTCATAGCGGTAGAGCTTGGAGATATCCAAGCTGCTTTAAATGAATGAGTTTGATTAACAGGTATTGGTAAGCAGTCTACTCACAGCAGTGCAGAGCTCAGCAGATAAGCATCCTCAAGTTGAGATAATGTCAACTTGAGGGGCTGATATTTAGCACCTCTGAAAATCCTGCCTTGAATTTTTGAGTCAGGTGCTTCCTTACCTCCTAGTCCTCACAAAATAATGCAGGTTATTGCCTCGGTACCTATGAGCAGTGCCGCTGTTCTGCAGCAGCTGAGGTTATGTTTCTTTGGTGAACAGTCATTTGGGAAGAGTGCTCGGTCTCCATGCAGCTGATACAAAGGTTGCTAAAGGCAGCCTTTAAACATATAGGGAGGAAGACATGTCCACAATCACTCTGGTCCGCGTGCTGTGCCTGGCTGCCTGGATAGCAATCGGTGAAGGTATAGATAGCCAATAAAATGAACACGTATTCTTGCCTCCTTTCTTCTATAGACATAGCGCCTCTGCTGCACAGAAGAGAAGTTTTCAGGCCTTAGGGAAACAGCTCAGTGATCGTTGCCTGAAGTCCCACATGTCGGCTGGGGTGAAATTGATGTGCATGGGACTTTCCCATGAGGGGGCAAAACATGGCCTTTAATCTGAGTTTTTAGTGATCCCTGAAGATCAGGCTGCTATGGGCACAAATACAAGACTGCAGGATACGCTTGCTCAGCCATGCAGGCAATCAACCAGCAGTTTTAATTCTCTTGTTTCAACACAGGGTAATTTGATTTAGCTTTTTATGCTCCCTTAACAGTGGCAAAGAGATTAAAATAAATTAAAACAACAGAGTTATAAAATTAAAACAGTCTCTTTTTCTTTCAAATACTGGCCACATATCTTCAGAGAGAGAGAGAGTGGAATTTCGAGCTCCCGATCCTGGATTGAGCTCTGTTACAAGCAGACCATGTAGCCACAGGACAGATGGTTATTGTAGGATTTGGGCCTACATTATTAATGAACAGATGAAACCAAGAGGGAAGTCAGAAGCATAAACTAATTACCAGGAAAGCAAATTTCTCTTAGCAGATCTCAAAGCAAAAAGTCAATATTACTGCCTTTTACCATGGTTAATTTTCTTCCTCTTCTAACAGCTTGGTTTTTTTAACAGTGTTTCATACTAAATATTTGACTGATTTTGCTGCGCGTTTCATTCCTGTCGTATAGCATTGAAAGCAGTATTTGATGAGAAGAGCCTGTTCCCCAAAGAAATTCTGGAGCGTGAACAAAAAGCAAGGCAACTGAATAAACAAATATGCAGTGGAGGCAAGATAAAAACACATAAAAAACAAACCAAGTTAAAAGAAAAATAATTCTTCCCTTCATTTTAGTAGAAGGTCAGTACGAAGAATGCTTATTCCCACTGACATCAATCAGACCGCTTGCATGCTTTGTTTGTGGGAGCAGCCTCGTGGCGAAAATGGTCCCGAAGCCACAGAGCACCCCATCTTCAAAGAGTTGTTAAGATTTAACATGGGATTAGTCCTATGTGGGTGCAAGTTTCACCGTGGTTGTCTTTGCTTGCAGCCTTTAAAAAGTTCATCGTAAAAGGCAAGTCACAGTTCAGGGAAACTGACCTAAACGTATGTCCTTGCTGAGGCTTCACAGAGGAGCCGTTTTTCGAAACCGTCAGCATGTTATTTATGGCATGCTTCTTCCTTTGAACCTCAAAGAATCTGACTTTGTAGAAAAGTTCCAGTAACATGGAAAGGTGTTTAAACCTCTCTCACAGTGTGTCTATTATGTTCCTAGCGTATGTCTAAGGTAGTGGATGCTTAAGCTTTTGGCTGCACAGACCAAAGGAGTGGCACAGGATCAGGCCCCCTTGCCTGGATCTGGACCGGGCTGCCCTCACCCAGTCCCACATGCCAGGATTAGGGCCCCAGGACTCCATGCTGTCTCTGCCCAGCTCTGCATGTGGGGACTGGGGCTCTGGGACCCCATGCTGCTTGTGTAGGGGTATGGTGTTGCTTCTGCCTGACCCTGTTTGTGGGGTTGGGCTCTGGGATCTCACACTACTTACACCTGGCCTCACATGCAGGGATTATGCTCTGGAGCCCTACATTATCGCTGCCTGGCCTGTACATAGGGATTTAGCTCCAGGGCTCTGTACCACCTCCACCCAGCCCAGTGTGCCAGGATTGGGGTCTGGGGACCCCCTGTGTTACCTTTTCTGGACTCTTTGTGCTGGCATCAGCTCCTCCTGGCCTTGCCTGTGGGATCAGGATCCCATGCTGCCTCCACTCAGCCCCACATACCTGGATCAGGCCCTGTGCTGCTCTGTGCACCAAATCTAGTGCACATAGCTATAGCCCACGGGATCCCCCATGGACCAGTGGGGAATCTTGTTGGCTGGCTGACAAGATGTCAGGGGTGGATATGGCCCACGGGCCAGGGTTGAGTACCCCAGATTTAAGGTGTGTTGGAGTGAGGTACTATCAAGTTTGCTCTTGGCATGCATTTGGGATGAGTTGCAGGAGTCACAATGGGCCCATCTCACTCATGCCTCTCTATTACATAGCCACCATGATTCAGACAAAATAAGAATTATACTTTTGCTTAACATTTGAACCAGTTTTCCTTCATGCACACAGAGTTGTATACAGCTAGTAGCCTTCAGGCAGGATTGTTGACCCATTGCACTCAGTGATCCTTGTTCCAGACACCAGGACAAAGAGCAATTTATCCCTGTTTTTTCCTCCAGAAGTGGGTACACCTCAATTCTGAGATGGTTTACACTCTTACTTCTCACTCTATTTGGAATTACAAATACTGCAAATATCTTTCCATGACCTAAATTCATGAGATTTTTAAGATTAATCTCTGCACCAGTGACTTGGTTAAGATTTGGAAAAGCAGCTAAATGTTTAGTTTTTTTAATATGAGGCATTTTAAGGCACATCCATCAGTTTTATCATACCATAGAAACTAAAGCCTTGATCCTTCTTCCATTGCAAGGTTTGCTATTCACCTGACTGAGTTCAGCTGTACAAGCCCAAAATGTAAGAATGGGGAAGATATTGATCATCCTCTTCAACCACTGGCAAAACTACTCCTCCAGAGTCTAGTTGAATGATTTTGCCTGATTGCCTTTAAATTAGGCAAGGAATGGATGTAAGGAAATTGTTCTGTAAATTAATATAATTTTTGAACATATAGGTTATCCTGATACAAAATGTCCTTGAAAACTTTACTTGTACTACACAAGGTTTCAAGTCAAAGTGCATATTTTATCAAGATCATCTTAGTATTTTAGCTTATCTTCAAGTTTACCTCAAACTGGACAAAATCCTGTATTTTGAATAATTTTGCATAAATACATTTTCAAGACTGATCTTGAAAGATTTCTGTCCTGTTGATTTTGGTAGGAGTGTTTGTATGTATAAGGAAGAAGGGAAGGAGGAAAGGAAGGAAGCTTAAAGTGCAAAAGTATTTGCAGAGTCAAAACCCTTATGTTTTCTTCTATCTTATAAATTTATATGGTGGAAAAAATCATGGTAAGATATTGTAAACAAAATGCTCTTTTGTGAGATGACTGCAATATAATTTGTGTATAGTAACATCCTAATGTAAAGAAGTTATGTATTCATGCATTTCATTAACTGTCTTATTTTCAGAGCTATGTTTTATCATCTTGGTGGGATGGAAATTAATATCGGTGGAGAACTGCATGAAATAAACCAAGCATAGGACTGGATAACAACTAAACCACAGACCTGAATTTGAAGAATGCATTTTCAAAATATTTGCTATAGTCAGAAGAACTCTGTTACCTTGTTTCTGATTGTTTGTTACCTTTATTTTGTACCAAATGTTTGCATATTTTCTCCTGCAGAAACCCAGTCTATACTGAAAAATCACGATGTGCTGTACAAAGGCTTACCTAGTGTTATTACAAGTACCTTCTATGACTACTGAAGCTATTCCTTGACATTACCCTTATGCTGTTTACAGCCAAACTTTGTAAGTGCATATGGTACTTCACAAATATGACCACCCATTAGACTGATTATTATTATTACGTCAACACCTAAAGTAGACAGGGAACTCCATGCCTTAGGGGCCAGGCCATTGCTGCTGCAGACCCTGAGATACTAGTTATGTATAGTAGGTGCTCACTTTATGCCTGTACTTTCAACTCCTCTCTGAGAAGCTTTCAAGGAAGCTTTAAAGGATCCAGAGCACTGCCTATCAGTTGTGGGTGGATGCCCATGAGGGTATGTGAGGAAGAAAGTATGGAGGTGATGGCCTGATAAGCTGCCAAGAGGATGGACAAGATTGGGAGCACTGGTAGGGGAGAGGGTGTTCTCCTTTTCAATTGTATAGTGTTGAGTAATGGGAAGTAGCTTCAGTTTGATCTCAGTTACACTTTAATTTCAAACCCACATTGCCTCAAGAACAGACCAGTTTTTAAAAATTGACGTGCCACAGAAATGCTCTTTCTTGCCTCTCAGAAATGGAAACAATTGCCACATTCCCACCTGAGGCTCAGAATTATACAGGTCTGAGATACAAATGGGCAATGTTTAGTGCTGCACTAGTGACAGGTTTAAAGTTCAATATTTCTCAGTCCTTCAGGGCTTGAAATGAAAGCTTAATATTCTTGGAGAGAGATTCCTGGATTTCTAGTGAGATGAACAACACTTTCCCCTAGTGTTGGCAGAACACAAAATATTGAACTTTCAACTAATGTCACTTTTATCTACAGAAAAGCTGTTTTTGTCATTTTTCAGAAGCATCAGAATGTTATTTATGGCATGCCTCTTCCTCTGAAGCACAAGGAACCTGACTTTTTAGAAATGCTAGGTTATCTGGAAAGGTGTTTAAACTTCCTAAAATAGCATGTCGGTAATGTTCGTTGCATATGTCTAAGGTGTGTTGGAGTGAAGTGCTACCAAATTTTCTATTGGCATGCATTTGGGATGACTTGAAGGAGTTTCAAAGGGCCCATTTCACACTCATACAGATTAAAGCCTCTCTAAGCATGCTGTTATGTATGTAACATGATTTAATAGAATATCACTGTATTATATTAGAGTGTTTGTTTTTAGGTTAAAATTTGTGCTGGCCTTTATATAGCCATGTATGTGAAGGTAAAGTACTTTCCCCTACTCATAGGCAGACAAGGTTCTTTGGGTAAATGTGATATCTTTTACTAGACCAACTAAATAGTTAGAAAAAAATGTTCTCTGCAAGCTTCTGAGCACAAACATCCGTCTTCAGGCATAGGGAGAGTCTGATGGCTTTTTGTGTTCTCCTGGATGGAATAGAAGCCAATATGCAAAATGCAGGTCGGCGAAACTGCAAATGCATGGCAGTGAGGATCAGAGGCCATGGGAGACAATAGGTGTGAGACAGGTAGGTTGCGGGGGGGAGGGGGGAATGTTGACCTGGTGATAGAATGCAGCTGGTAAAATGTAGACAGGTTATCTGGGGTTATTGGATGGCAAGTAGGTTATAATGTACCATAAATCCAACGTATGTATTTAGTTCATGATTTTTTTTGTATCCAGAAGATTTATGAAGTGAAGTTCGTGGGCTTATCCATGAAAGGCATTTTGTAAATTCCCTTTGAGGATTAGGACTGAGAGATTGGAGAGAGAGTGGTTGTCTTGTGAGAAGTGTGCACCTACAGGTAATTGGGTATTTTTGTCTTTGATAGATTTTCAGTGTGCATCCATTCTGGTATGCAGTTGTTGTATGGTTTCTCCTACATATTTTCCATCAAGGCATTTAGTGCACCGGAGGAGATGTATTACATATCTGGGGGTGCAGGTGTAAGAACCAGGAATGGTGATGGTTTTATTGTGGGGTATAATTATTGTGGGAGTAGTGGAGATGTATTGGCAGATTTTACATTTCTTGTCCTAGCATGGTCTAGATCCATTTGGTGTGGTTTGGGCCATAGGGAGATTGCTTCTGGTGAAGAGGTTGGCATGCCCTATGTAAGAACTAGTAAAATGGCAATTTCATGCATGGGGGGAATTATTGCTGTTGAGTCATTCTGCTGGGGGAATGATGTGCCTGAAAGGGAGTGGACAAAAAGGTTTGGGAGAGGGGGTGTCCAGGTTTCATGCTCCTCTATGATGGCCAGTAATGCATGGAATAGTAAGGGGGGTTGCTTTACTAAAAGGTACATTACAGATTAATCTCATGTCCTCATCACAATTTTTTAGCTGCATCTTTACTATAGGATGTAGCTAAATGCATGTAGCTCCATGTCCTCTTTTCCTCCTAGGCATGATGGTATATTTGAAATGTTGTAGTTGAACCCATGTGGAAGAACAACCCATTATTTCTGCATATCCATTTCAAAAGTATAATTCATAACTCTGCTTTGAACAAGGGTTTGCATCAAAACATTTCAGAAAGATACATTAGAATAGTAGTCATGTTTCTGAGGTTCACTGCCATCCCATTAAACTGAATTGCAATTCCCTCCATTAATTTCTTACAGAAGGCAAGGCAAACCAATTAATATTGCAACATTTTAGAAAGGCAGCTTTTCATAATCAACTTGGTGGCCACCTGTCATGTGTTTTGGTACATTAATCATACTGCTTTTCATGATAATTGTAGTTGTGTCATTGCCCTTCTTACTGTTTATGTTTCAAGGCAAATCTGTATTTTTTTTAAGCGTAGTTTTGCTGTTAAGAATGGAGTGGTATGACACTAGGTAAGTATATATGTTAACACTTTAATTAAAATGTATTAATGATGGCTATTATTAGCATATAATAACAAAATATTTAAAGTTGTCAGGTGTGGATTTTTATTATTGTCTTAATCCATGTTTGCTTTTAGCCAAGCTTTTGAAACGGGGGCAAGTTAATAAATATGGGCCTTTCTTTCACTGGTGTGAATAAAACCCAACAGGGTTCATTTTTATTTTGAATATATAGGTATAATAAAATACAAACTGTTTAGGAAGGACAGGCAGGGGAGAAGAGAAGGAGGAGTTGTACTGCATGTAAAAGAGCTGTATGATTGCTCAGAGCTTCAGTATGAAACTGGAGATAGGCCTGTTGAAAGTCTCTGGGTTAGGGTTAGAGCGGACAGCAACAAGGGGGATGTCATGGTTGGTGTCTGCTACAGACCACTAGACTAGGAGGATGAGGTAGTTGAGGCTGTCTTCAGACAACTAGCAGAAGTTTCCAGACCATGGGCCCTGGTTCTCGTGGGGGAACTTCAATCACCCTGACATCTGTTGGTGGGGGGCAATACAGCAATGCACAGGCAATCCCAGAAGTTCTTGGAAAGCATTGGAAACAACTTCTTGGTGTAAGTGTTGGAGAGTCCAACTAGGAGCCTTGCTCTTCTTGACCTACTGCTCACAATCAGGGAAGTATCGCTGGGGGATGTAGAAGTGAATGACAAGACAAATTGAAGGATTGGGCCAAGAGAAATGTTACGAGGTTCAATACGGACAAATGCAAAGTCCTGCACTTAAGACAGAAGAATGCCATGCACTGCTACAGCCTGGGGGCTGACTGGCTAAGCAGCAACTCTGCAGAACAGGACTTGGTGGTGACAGTGGTCTATAAGATTGATATGAATCAGCAGTGTGCCCTTGTTGCCAAGAAGGCTAACAGCATACTGGGCTGCATTAGTAGGAGTGCTGCCAGCAGATTGAGGGAAGTGATTACAGTATTCCACTCTATTCTGCACTGGTGAGGCCACATCTGGAGTACTGTGTTTAGCTTTGGGCCCTCTACTATAGAAAGGATGCGGACTTTGGAGAGAGTCCAGCGGAGGGCAACAAAAATGGTTCAGGGCTTGGGGTACATGACTTATGAGAAGCGGCTCAGGTAACTGGGCTTATTTAGTTCGGAGAAGAGAAAACTGTGAGGGAATTTGATAACAGCCTTTAACTACCTAAAGGGTCATTCCAAAGAGGATGGAGCTGGACTGTTCTCAGTGGTGACAGATGACAGAACAAGAAGCAATGGTCTCAAGTTGCAGCAAGGGAGGTTTAGGTTGGATATCAGGAAAAAGTCTCTCACTAGGAGGGCAGTGAAGCACTGGAATGGATTACCTAGAGAGGTGGTGGAAGCTCTGTCCTTGGAGGTTTTTAAGGCTCAGCTCGACAAAGCCCTGGCTGGGATGATCTAGTTCAGGATGGTCCTACTTTGAGCAGGGTGTTGGACTAGATGACCTCCTAAGATTGCTTCCAACCCTACTTTTCTATGATTCTATGACTCTATATACGTTTAATATATAGTTCAGGATTATACTGCATGTTGAGCTGGCACTAGGGAAATATCTTCCTTCTTTCTGTCATATGCCCTTGTCCACCTGATATTCAAAGATCTCATAGTAACTAGTTGGGGGAGGCAAGACCTGAAATGGAATTATATTGGTCCTATCATCTTAATGCACTGACTCAAAAATCCCAGATCCAGACATGCTAAAACTTGAGATGTGTGAAATTCAGATCAAAGTTAGTAATTTACACTTCTATATAAAATAGCATTTTCCTCTGTAAATGAAATCTTGTGGGGTGTAGTATTTTGGTCTGATAATGAAGCTGTGTATATACTATATCAATTATTTAATTGACCTCACAGCATGGGGGAAATATTCCTGTTTTAAGAATTGTTGAACAGTAGTGTTTAATCATGATAAATACTGAACTTAATAAAAGGAAGCAAAAATTAGGCCAGAGTTATATACAATTATACTGGCAAGAAATCTTTAAATATATTAACTTGTACTTTGGTTTTTCGGTATCAACATTATAATGGCTAAACTATAGATGTCCTTTCATGTATAGATGTTAATTTAAAAGGATGACGTATTTAAGGTTCTCTTATAAAACAGAGGTAACATTTCTAAATGGTGCAAACAAATTTGATTTTCCTGGGTGTATATTTTATGTATAGGGTAAAGAAACTAAGCAATAAAGCTTCAAAAAAAATCTAGATGACGTTTATCTAGTTTTTTAAGACACGTGGGGTACTTTGAAGTTGTCACTTTTCTCCTGTTTTATCATTTAATTTCAGTTCCAGTATTTCAAAGGAGAAAGTAGACTGCAGTAAACAGTGCTACAATGAGAAGTACTTTATTTCAGAGGCTTCTTCTGACTAGTCTCAGAACATCGCTAGCTTGCAGTCCTTTCTCCAGCCCATGGTTGAAAGCACTATACAATTTGTGTTGGACCTCTATCGAGTACTTCACTTTTCTCCTAAGACAACATCCTGTACTCGGCACTCGGTACTGCTCCGGTTCTTGGAATGGTACAGTTAGGGGCAAAGGGAAAAGCACTTTTTGAGATAAACACAGTTCTGAAACTTCAAGGAAATGAAGATGGTGAGTATTTGTCATCTATAGCATGGGAGGAAAAAGGGGTAAACCACTCGGGGCTGACTGTGTTCCTAGCCTTGTCATATGACTTGATTGTCCGAATGAACATTTATATCACTGACGTGGCTCAGGTCAGAATTCACTGGTCCCTTTTGCTAGCTCTTCCTCCCCTTTCTCTCTCTCACATCCTCTTTAAAAAAGGAAAACAGATACAAATAGAACATCAACCACCAGTGAATGCTGCTCATTAGTAAAACAAATGGATATATTGAGGAGAGGGGTCAGAGGATAAGACATCTGTCAATAGCTTCTTTGATCCTCTGGCAATCTGATTGCATGGATTTTTCTTTCTTTGAGAATATAAGAGAACAGCAGCCTGTTCCATTACTGAGATGGATCTACCACCTGCAGCCTTTTTGCTGTTCCTTGGTTTTTTCATTGTCAAAAGTTGAGTGGGCATCTCAATAGTCATACCAGAGTTTGTCATTTGACAAGTGCGTGTTTTGTAACTTTAACCCAATGGTACTCAGTACTTCCCAAGACAAAGGTGACTCTTGCCTGAAAATGTTATTAACTCATTTTGTGCTTTTTACTGACTGCATTGGACAAGTCTTTTCTGCGTATGACAATGTACTATAGGTTGCTTATTTTTAAGTGTTTGCCACAGCTCACCTTTGGGTGTATATGTTGTGGTGGGGTGCAGTGGCAGAACAGTTAAGTGCCTTTCTATGCCTCATAGGCAGACAAGGTTCTTTGGGTAGATGTGATATCTTTTATTAGAATAACTAAATCACTGGAAAAATTGTTCTTTACAAGCTTTCAGGCACAGACACCCTTCTTCAGCGCAGGGAGTGTTCAAGTCTCACTCTGGATTCATGCAGCAGCTGCAACCAACTCGTCCCACTCCAATCCAGCTGTAAAATGGACACCTGATCATTTGGGCTGGGGAGTCAAAGGTGACCGGATGTAATGTTAGTTTCATCACTCCTTGTGTGCCATTGGCAATAGAAGTTGGAGTACCTTAAGCACCATAGTCCAGTGGGCTACTAGGCTCAGGTGGACCTTTAACCTTTATAGTACATATTGTCATTGCTCATTTGTCATCACTGGCTACTCAGTTACTTATTTGTATAACATGGTTGTTACTCATGTGGTCCAGGAATGAGTGCCTATCCCTTAAGCCAGAAGTAGGCAATTATTTTTGGTGGAGGGCCATTTAATGAGTTTTGGTGAACTATTAAGGGTCACATGGGTAACCCTGACCCTTGACAGTAGCCTCTTCCCCTTGCTACCATATTGGGACTATAAGTCCTACCCCTAAACCCTGACCTTTGCCATCAGAAGTCCCCCCCCTGCCCCCCAAATACTCCCGGGAGGGGGGGAGGGTTGCCATCTTAGAATCAGAAAAAACCCAAATCATATACTAAAAGTCAAACACCTACTATAACAACATATTTTAATTTTATTACAAAAAATATTTTTGTCATAATTTGTGTTTGCTTACTGTATATAGAGGTGATTGCATAACTCAAATAAATTCTTAGTTTTGTATATTGTGCGGGGGGGGTGGGGATAGGGTGTGGGTGTGAGGGAGGGTGGGGGGCATGGGGACCTCGCTACACTCTCCCATGGCACAGCAGCAGGTGGGGCACTCAGGACACTGGTTCCCAGAGGGGCACAGGTCCAGCCAGTGCTGCACATCACAGTGAGGGGTGCAGTCTCCCAGGGACTGTCTGTATTCCACTCACTTGCAGCCCACTCACTTGCACAGCACAGGAGGGAAGCCCCATGTGTTCCCTGCCAGGGCTGTGCAGCACAGGAGAGAAGCCCCACAGGCTGGAGACCATTGCCTTCCCCACCAGGGCTGCGCTGCAGGGAAGGAAAGCCCCAGGTGCCCTCCCCTGGGAGGTGGGGAAGGAAATGGGCTCCAGCCTGTGCGGCTTTTCTCCTGTGCTGTGCAGCCCTGGCAGGCAAGGCACCTGGCTCTAGAATATGCGGCTTCCCTCCTGTGTGAGTGCATGGGCTGTATGTAAGTGGCAGGGAGCAGCAGCAATACAGGCAGCCTGGGGGAGACTGTGTCCCTCACTGTGATGTTCAGTGCTGGCCATAGCCTCAACCGACCAGGAAACTGTGCCCTGACTGCCCCACCTGCTGTTGTTGGTGCTGCCATTGTCTGAAGCATTGAGATATCAAATACACATCACCCAATGCTTGATCCTGCACCATTGAATAACTGGAAGTTTCTCCACTGGTTTCTATCCAGCCTGTAGACCACTGAATAATCCTTAAATGGCAAACAATTTTGGGTACTACCAGCACTTGGCTGGATTCCAGCCAGTCTCATCCAGGCCAAAAGCATTATTTCCCCTTTTACCAGAGGTTTAATATCTTTAAATGCAACAATTGTTAACTTGTTACCTGGGGAGCTGTAGCTGTTTTGAATTTAAAGAATGCTGCCTTGGCTAACTTGTTAGTGCATGCAGCGAGACTCTAATGCCCTTATCCATTTTGCCCAGTATCTTTAACCAGATGTTCCTCACTGAAGTCTTTGAGGCTAATTGTCAAGTGTTCCCAAAATGAGTTATAGTTTTCAGAATCTGACATGATTAATATCAGAGATTAGAGCTGGCAACCCCCTCACCTCATTTCTTACTTATATGTAAAACACTTATTTTTATAAAAGATTATAAAGTAACCATTGGAAGGATATAAGGAACCCCAAAACACAAATCTTCAGTGAAAAAGATTTTTTAAATCATTTAGCAAACAGATTTTTTTCATTCCTACATCTTGTACAACAAGCCCTGCACTCTTAACAGCTTAAAGACAGAGATAATTGAAGCCTGTCTTCAATTTCAGGTTCTAGAAAATGCAGTAAGTCTACTTTTATAGCTGTGTGTAGTTTTAATGTTATCTGCAGAAAATACAGATCATTGTTCTGGAAATCAAGTCAAATATGCAAAGTGTTTTAAACACTGCGTTACAACACTTTGTTTGGTATAATGGTCTTTCTTCATATACTACCAAGAATAATGGCTTGTCAAGGGACATCTGGGCATTTATAGCACATCCACAGACCTTCAGCATATGACGTAAGCCCATTCATTCAAGCAGATGATTACTAACTATTACGGGATTTTTCCCCCTTTAGAAAATACTTAAACAGACAAGTTACATTAGAAAAGCAACACACTAACCTCTGCCAAGTGTCATGCTGTCAGTCATTGGCAAAAAGAGCTCTTTTCAGAATGCCTATTCATTACAGTGTGGCACTAGCAGGGAGTGGTGACAGTAGGTGGCTACAACACTAAATGGATTTCATATCCCGGCATGGTTGTAAAGATGTGACACAACAGGAGAGAAATAGAACAAGATGAGCATGGACATGAGAGAGAGAAAAAACAGAAATTGTAGTGTGCTAAACTGTAGATTTAAACAAGTCCTGGAGGTTGAAATTCAGCCCTGATGTCATGACAATGACTTCAGTGGAGATGCTCCAGGAATGCAATTGGACTAAGGGCTTAAAAATCAAATACATAATCAATAGACTGTGGGTTTCAAAATGCAACTATAGTCAGGAGGGGGGCGACACCTCCTGCGGCACCTTCCAAGGACGATAAGGACAGCCTGAACATATGGAAGTGACTTAAAAAATCCTTTGCAACCTGACATGTTGCCAATACTGAAAAGAATGCAAAAGTCAAGCACTTTGATTGTTCAGCTTTTTATCAAGAAAACCTGTGGATCTCACCGATACAGTCTTTAAATTGGCTTAGTTTATGTTGTGTTATATCGAAGTGGGTTGTGCTCAGTATTATCCTCTGAAGAAACTTACTGAGTAAAAGAGCCAGATTCAGTTGTTAAGTATGAGTTTACTTTAGGAAGACTCCAAGAGATTTCACCCAGACTCCTTGTGGAATAAGGTACATTTCAGCAAGAGAAAGAAAGGATAGAGAATTTGCCTCTGAATCACTTAATATATTTAAGTTACAAAGGCTAGGTTTATTTCTTTAAGGCTAAAGAGTCCATTTCATTATACATTTTACTCAGATGACCAGACGAGAGAGTGGCTTTGGTGGCAGCTAGGGAAATGGATATAGGAAGGTTTTGATTGAGGGAAAGGCCACAGAAACAAAAGTTATCACTTTCTTCAGTGCTCTTCCTTTTCAGGTCCCACTGGGTGCATGCATTGTCAGAAAAACTTAATGCAAAGAAAAGAGCATTGGACCTCCAATGGTATTTCTTTTATCCTTTGAGACATTTTGCTGTAGTTTGCACAGCACATGGCTTGTACCTGGAGCGGTTTACCATGAAAAGGACAAGCCATCAGTTTTTGAGACTACCATGCACATGGGAAGAGCCCTCCAGTTCCCAGGGACCTCTGGTCTCCCTACCTGTCAACTCTACCAGACTGCTTTGGCAGCAGTAAGCTCTGCTCTGAGGGGTCTTCACTCTTGCTAGCACTCCACGTCCCATTTTGTTAAATTGTACTGGTAGCATAAAGGAAGTATTCAGTGCACTGCAGCTCGTTTGCAAAGCAGCCTTCGTTTTATTGTACCTGAAGTTCTGTGGGGGGATTATTTTGGATATGGATATCGATGCTATTACACAGCTGTTTTATGTTCTTCAAATGAAAGTGTTACTATTAACATGTATTTTCCTTAGGTGAAGAATTCTCTGTGCTCCAGACACTAGTCTCTGTCACGTGGGAAAAAAAAAAAAAAAAAAAAAAAAAAAAATTTACATTTAATCTTGCCAATGCCCTCTACCTTCAAGAAGGATTCATTGTGAAAGAACAGGATCTCCATAGCAACAAGGAATTTTTTCAGACTGCTATAAAACTGGTGAATTTCCAAGACACAAAAGCTTCCACAGAAGCCATAAGTACCTGGGTGGAAAACAAAACAGATGGTAAACTCTATAGCTTTTGCAGAAGCACTGCTTGCCATTTAGTCCCTTTCCCTTCACAGTGCCCTAAATGTATAGACTAAGCTGATTGTTGTATAATTAATCTCTGATCCATGATGTACGCCGGACTGCAGCAAGGAATCTGGAAGCGAGCACTTCTTTTCCATTATAGACCATTGCTCATATAAGCAGCTAGCCGTTAGAGACAATGGAAATACTAAGCTGTTCTGAAAACATTAATGATCCTGTTTTGATTCCCAGGCCCTTAAACCACTGTTCAATACAATTATTTACTTAAGCCTGTTTATGCAGCTACTGGGTTTGTGACACTGGAAGCCAGGACTCCTTTCCAAATAGAAAGTAAATAATGATTTAGTCTGTCAGTAACACATGCCGCGTTTCTCATACTAACTGTAAATGATTAATACATTTTAGTAAACTCTATCCATTTTCAATAGCCCGTATGCCCAGCACATCCCTGAATAACACTACTACTATTATTTAGGCTGGCAGCAATTTACATGTGCTTCCCTTTAAAATTATAATTTAGGCCCCTGGCAATGATTAAGCCTTAATTTTGCAGCACAAACCATATAAATAGGCCTCTTAGGACCCATGAGAGGTTCCCTCAGTGCTCGATTCCTTGTGTTGTTCAGTTTATTAAAATTCCATTTATTTTATGCTGCTCCTATGCTGTAAATCTTTAAAGGCTGTTTCTACTGACAGTGAATAATTGAACTGAAGAAGCTTTCAGAGGGAAGGTGGAGGTCCTGGGAGCAGGACAGGAGAAAACTGGAACTTTTCTCCTTTAGGGAGTGCGTGTGCCTGAAGTGGTTGGTATTCAGGAGTCATTCATGGGGTTTTTAATACTGGGCGCAGGGATTGCTTTACATTAGGAGGCAAAAGGCATTTCAGTGGCTCATTTCTTATCTTCAGCAACTGCCGAAGGCCCTAGCATTGCTGCCCTTCCAGTTGCTGCTGCTACATTCGACAATGATAATTGGGTGTTTTGGTAAAAGTATTAGCAGTGAAAGAGAGAGAGGTGGTTAGCCGCATTAGTCTGAAGTCATGCAAAGGCAAGATAGAGGTGCACCTTGTAGACTAAATGAATCAAAGTTGAAAGCATTCATGAGCCACAGCTCACTTCATCAGATATTAGCAATGAAATAGATGATGATGCTTAAATTATCATCAGACTCCATTGTTAATCCTGCTTCTTGTGGGATAATGCTGCAGACTAGGAGAAACAACCCTGCACCACTTACACTTGATTCGTCATATGAAGGTTTTCCATGAGAGAGGAGAGTTCACTGAAAATTAAACAAAAATCTGCTCTTCAGAGGCACAGTGCGGTAAAGATATAAAAAACAATCTGGATCTCTGCAGGAACATATATGGCCATTTATTATGCCATCAACCTCCCTAACACCGTGGATGTGAGCTGGCGCGCAGTTATGTCCATAGTAAAACCCTCACCCACTTCAGTAATGTGACAGTGCAAGAGGGTTTTTGTAAACAGGAAACCCCGTTATGATCATCCTGTATGCTACCTGCAGGTTCATGTTCATTTTATTTAAGATGCAGTGGCTGGTGCTTGAGAATTTTGCTCATCTATTTGTTTTCCCCATTGGCAAAATAAAAAAAAAACTGTTTCAAGTGAATAATTTGATCCTCTCAGTAGGCTTGTTCTGGTGAAAGCTATTTACTTCAAAGGACACTGGAAACAGAAATTCAGACCAGAAGCAATGCTGGAGATGGTTTTAACTAAAAGGGGTGGTTCTGTAACAAAGATGCCAATGATGTATTTTCAGCTGAGAACAAAGATTGATAGTTTAACCTATACTTGTCCATCTGTCTGTCTAATCAGCATCAGAATTTTCTTTGTAGTTTTATTTTGCCTATTGCAAGGCATGACGTCCTGCTTCTTTTCCAGGCCATTTTTCTGACAATAAAGGTGAGCTGCCAGGTTTTGGAATTGTCTTAAAAAGGATTAGTTCAGTTTAGCTTTAACACTTTCTTCAGAAGATGTGACTACTAGAAGTAGAAAAACTAATGACAGCTCATCTGATAAAAGACTAGTTACTGAAATGCAGGAGGTGGATGTAGAAATAAGCCTCCTTAGGTATGTGATGTACTTGGTGGTATTCTGCAATTGTGTCTTATCTCTTATTTTCTTCCACTTATAGAAGATTAGGGGATTAGTGTGTAACCCAGGTGGTACTCCAAGAGGTACCCCCTCTCCAATTGAAGGGATCAAAGCAGGTGCACAAGCGCTGTGGGAGGTGTAGGGACCCTATAGAGCAGAGCCAGATCACTAATGGGGACTTAACCATATACCTTTTAATGCGAGAACAGTACTGGGAACATAACCAGTATAAACCAGGGGGTATAGGGGACACTACAACGTCCCAAGAGGGCAGGATTCAGCAAAGGTTAGACACTTACAATCATAGACATATTCACCCAGTTGACAAAAGACAGGGTTAACAAAATATAAAACACAAACAGCAGAACAGACAATGCTTGTTGGTGAAATATAAAAGGCACAAAATGTCAAATAACAAGGAATATAGGGTACCTGGGTACCAGGAGGTGGGGAGAAAGAGGGAAAACACAATGACCCCTTTCCACTACAACAAGAATTTCTCTGTCACTTCAGTCACCCCAGCTGGGACGTGAATTGGGATCTCCCACATGTAGGCAGAAACTCTATCACACAGCCACCAGTGTTGGGGCTGCTCCAAGCTGCTAGGTGTCTTAACCTTCCCAGAGCCTCGGCTTCACGTCCAGCTTCCTGGCTGCTTATTGGAGGAGCTGGAAGCAGAGCTGGGAACCTCTCCGGTCGCTGCTCAGATCTGTGCTGGAGCTGGAGAGCCTCTCCTGATGGCCACAGTAGGGGATCCTGGAGCCCAGTGGAGAGCCTCTCCTGCCGGCCGTACGCCACATTGCTGAGGGTCCCACTGCTGCCTGCAGGTCTCACTCCTTCAGGCTCTTCTGGGGCAACTGCTCCTGCCCTGCTGGCCCAGCTCTTTGAAACTCCTTCCCTGTGGTCCCTCACTGGTCTCTCCTGAGTCAGCTACGCTGCCCCTTTTATCCCCCTCCAGGTGACCCAAGGGGCCAATCAGGGGACATGGAGAGTGATTCTCTGGGGCCTGATTGGTGAGGAAAGGGAATCCCAAGCCCTCCAATCATCTTTTATCCTTTCAAAACCCCTGGGCGAAATCACTATCAGCTAGCCCATCACAAGTGTAAGGTACAAAAATGCTTGAGGAATCTCATTGATAATAGGTGTGATTTTTCTCCCACTTAAACACAAAGGTGGTTAGCTTTGTCATTCTGAAGTCAGGCAGAAGGTGGGGCACCTTAGGGCGTCTGTACACAGGTAGTGAGGCTGCTCTGACGCCCTGTAATTAATTGAGTCTTCTGGAGTGTGGTAATTAACATGCTCCAGCAGTTCAGCGTCACATGTATCAGTGTTGCCGTGTTGAAACATGGTGACAGGGGTGCTTTAACTAAAGCTTGTTTGATGAGGTTTAGATAAAGCACCCTTGCTGCCATTTTTCAGTGCTGCGATGCTGATATACATGACGACCTGAGCATTTTAGTTAGAGCGGCTCCAAGAGCTTCTTTAATAAAAGCCCTCCCCCACAGCTCCTAGGGCATGTGTATAAATGGTCTTAGACACTAACAGGTTCAGAGAGGCATGAGCTTTTGTAGGCAATAAGCTACTTATTCAGATGCCTAGGGATGCTTATGTTCTCTGAAACAGTTAGTCTTTAAGGTGACACCCTGTCTTACCTACTCTTACCTGAGTTAATGAGAATTTTGAATTTGCCTTCAGATTGGATTTGAGTCTCTACAGCTATGCACAAATAT